AAACTGAAGATGCATCCTCAGGAGAAGGACCTATATCAAAGAGAACTTGAATATTCCTGGACCATAATTATCTATCTCCAAAACAATCATGGAATGGAGCCGGGGTGGGGGGGGGGGGGACCAAAAATTTTTTTTTTTTTTTTTTTGCCAGAACGGGGACCTTTTGATTAATTGTAATATAGACCAAGTCTGATGTTTCCTGCTGCTTCTTAGACACGGTGTTTAGAACTAACACCCATCAGTTGCTGTTGGGGACCACAGCAGTGCTCACAGCTAAAGCCAACATGGCCTGTTTCTCTAGGAAGCCRGTCTATATTAGAGACCCTGGTGCCCAGGTGCAAATCATCCCCGGAGCCAGCTGAGCCTGCGGCTGTATCCATCACTGCCTCTCTGATGGCAGGGCTGTCTCAGGGTCCTGCCCTGGTGCTTGCTGGAGATGGAGGGAGCGGAGCAGTGGACCCCAGAGAGGCCTGGGAAGTTGCCCCATTATCTTGAGGGAGAGTCTGTTGGCCTTTATCCTGTGCAATCAAACAAGTTCTCAGGAGGGACAGGCTGCAGCCTGTCATCTGATCTTTCAGAGGGAGGAATTAAGAATCTTCTTTGATGGTTTCTCTCTATAAATTTAATTACTAGCTGGAAAAACAAGTTTTACTTAATCATAGATGTTCTCAAAGTATAATCTGGGGAACACTGAGAACCCCCATGAACTTCTTTAGGGTTGATATGAGATTAAAACTATTTTAGAACTATTTTTGAATTTTATTTAATATTAAGAACTTAGACTTGACGTTTTCATCCTTTCTCAGAAGTATATGGTGGAGTTTCCCAGAGGCTATGTGACTTGAATTTTTGCTCAATGGCTAACAACATGTGTGCTTGTGTAGTCTTGTGTTTCTAGACACTTCTAAGGTGGCAGCTTTGGGGTTACCAATGTGTGTTTTCAGAGATGAACATAGTTTGTGCTTAGCGTTTCTGCTGTGTTTATTAGCTGTCATCACCAATATCTACTCCTATCTCTGTGACTTCAAGTCCCAGAGTTTTCCTGTATCTACATGGAAGAAAACAACAAAAAATACATACTTTGTAGTCTTGGTTTGAAGATTTTCTAAATTTTTAAATGGTATCAAATTATTTCTGAATTTAATGATAATTTATTCTGAAACAAGGATATGAATGTATACATTCTATAATTAAGAACAATAGATTATTGGTGTACAAGAGGAATTGAATGTTTTCAATTCACACCTGTACCATCTGTGTCCCTAAAAGTGCAGACAAATGAAACGGACAAATCGGTACCTTCCCTGACTCATGGAAGGGAGAAATTTACCCCAAAGAAATGGGCAAAGCTAAATGAGAAGCGACGGAAACACCCTTTGCTTTACCTCTAGTTTACCTTCCAAATGGGATTGCGGAGCTGGTAGCATCATTTTGAGACCCATTCAGAGACCTCTAAAGAAAAAGGACTTGAATGGCTTAACTGTAGGTGGGTGAGCGCTGTGAAGCCCCAAATTATCCATTCCAGCTTTTCAGACGAGAAAATAAGCTATTGAAGTATCAAACAGCATAGATTGTTAAGTTGTATTGGCTGGGAAAACTCACAGAAAGCCTGATTGGAGGAAAAGGCACTAAAAGAAATCACCACACCACCATTTCCCGGTGGTAAAGTACCAAGATCTAGCTGTAAACATGAACACTGATGGTGTTGGTGGTGTGACAGAGGGAGAGGTGTGTTTTTTGCCTTGCAAATGGAGGAAATTGCAGTCATGACAGGAAACACTTCTTTGGTGTAGCTCAGTGGCAAAACATGTGCTTAGGATGCACAAGGTCCTGATTTGGTCCCCAGCACCCCAAAGTGTCACCTTCATTACCAGCTTTGCCTTAATCCTGTGTATGGTTTCATCAAGAACACATAATTTCATTAAGTGTTGATTCTGACTGCGKGTCTGTTTGGTGTGCCGGGTGGTGAATGGAAGTGCCTATAAAGCTCTTCTGTTGCCATCTAAGTGTGACAGATGCCTAGCGTGATGTGTTCATGGGATTGATGTGCGAGCTGAACTGGCCACTTTTCTTCATAGATGCCATTTTTGCTTGAAAGGTGGATGGCAAACATGGTTTTTCTATACCTGGGTAATTGGCAGATAGATTCTAAGAAGGAACTAAGTGAGCCAGTCACTGCAAGGAGATGGCTGAAGTGTTTGCTGCCAACTCACCTTGTGAGCTTGACAGCTTCCCACTTCATAGGAATTTCCCATTGGGATCAGTGGCGACACCAGCCAGTGTGACTTTCTGGTATAGAGAAGCATGTTGACATTGGTTTGGAAGATATGCCTAACTCAGAGATCTAGGATTTTCCAGGAGACCAGTGCATGAAGTTACAAGGTTGTGCAGGACTAAGATATCCTCAAAGTGAGATAGGCAGATAGGCTTTCATATATAACCAGGTACAAAAGGTTCATTGGGAGATAAGATTTCAGCTTCCACATTGCAACTGACCTTCAGGAAAGGTTGAAAGTAAGTTAACCTTTGAGTTTTGGAGACCTATCAATGATGAATGTCCAGAATTATCTGCAAAGGTCGAGAAAACATTAGGCCCTTGCCCACTACTTTGTGGTGTTCTATTTTCTCTATGTGCTTCAATCAAAGCTCAGAGATGGGAAAGCAGCTGTCCTCAGTTAAGACAGATGTCAGTGAGAGGAATGGACCAATGACATAATGTGCATGTTCACATTTATTTTTAAGTAAATCAATAAAAAGTTAAGCTTTTTTGGGAGGGTGGGTACTGGGGATTGAATTCAGGGGCACTTGGCCATGAGCTACATCCCCAGCCCAATTTTGTATCTTATTTAGAGACAGGGCCTCACTGTTGCTGAGGGTGACTTTGAACTTACCACCCTCCTGCCTCAGCCTCCCAAGCTGCCAGGATTACAGGCGTGCAACCCTGCACCCGGCRGCATTTTTCGGTCTTGATTTCTGTCAAGGTAAATATTGATAGATCAACCCACACAAGTCTTTATTTATTTATTTTTTTGGGAGTTTTTATTTTTTTATATTTTTTATTATTAGTTGTTCAAAACATTACAAAGCTCTTGACATATCATATTTCATACATTTGATTCAAGCAGATGATGAACTCCCATTTTTACCCCATATACAKATTGCAGATTCACATCGGTTCCACATCCACTTTTTTACATACTGCCAAAGTAGTGTCTGTTGTATTCTGCTGCCCTTCCAAGTCTTTAATTTTTGAGAGTGTGAAGGACTAAAGAACGTGAGCTGCTGCCTGAAGAGCACCATGCACTGCTGAGGAATGGGGACCCGTCGTGGGAAACGCGAAGTTAGGTGATTTTGTTGCTGTGGGGACATGATATATCCAGTTCACTTCCATAAAGATGACTGCAATGTCACTCTTGGCTTCTGAACCATCGCGTGTGTATGACCCATTGTTGACTGGAACTTATTTATGTGGCATGTGACTTAAATTCAGTGTGTCTATAGCAAGATAACAATCTGGACTTGGAAAAGCCATGCCGTGCACAGGTGGAGGTTGTTAAAGGAACCTTGCAATGAGCCACGTGCAGCTGTGGTGAGAACTGGGTGCTGGGGGGCAGGTGGGCTCTGAGGGTAAATGGGATAGTGCTAAGAGCTTCTGGGGTGGGAGGGGCACACACTTCTCCCTGTGGGGAATGGAAGACTAACAGAGAGGTACCTATTTGGTATCTCACGTTTGCTTTTCCTTGACTCTAGTCTTTTGAACTGAAACAAAACAAAAACAAACACAACTTTGGACCGTGGCTATTCATTATTTTGCTTTGGGGAGTTGGAAATTGTCCCTGAGTTTCAAATGTTCTGGGAAATCCAGTCATCTCTGGGCTTCCTCAGTCTCCCTTTCAACTTGCTGAAATGGGTCCCTCTAGGATCAGAGTTCTTGCCCGGTCTCAGGTGCCAGCAATGGCTGCAGGGAAGATTTCCCACAGTGGGCCCCTGAGGGTGTTTGAGAGAGTCTTGGTCTTTCCTGTCACATGGCTGGTCCTTGACACCAGGCTTCGAATGTAAAGTAAAGCTAGAGACGCGCACACAGCAAAGGTTCTTGTGTGGGTCATTTAGGAGTTGACCTGGGTGAAGGACCTTGGGCCCTGGGTAGAGCTGGGGACCCAGCAGAAGCCCCTGGGATTCCAAGCACCTTTTTCCATTGTAACATTTTCATGCTTTTATCCATTTCATRCTTTGCTGCTGTGGCTTATTTYCCCCCTTCTCTTCTCCCCACCCCCCACCCAGGGGGAACTGAGAGTGCCCTTCTTCCCATTCCAGTCCCCTGTCCTTGAGCTCACACACCATGGGAACGAAGGCATTCAGACTTCCAGGTGGCACCAGAGATCTAAGAACCAGCTCACTCTGAAGTCTGGGATGCGTGCCTTCCAGTCACCTCTTTAAAAGCCCAGTTCCTCCTGGGGGTCAGGACCACAGCCCTRGACTGGAGTCCTCTGTGCTTCTYCTTTGTTAGCAAAGCMATGAAACTTTTTTCTTTTTTCTCAAAACTGTCCTCATTTGTTGGATTGGCATGGGGGACGGAGGAMGAACTTTCAGTAAGACTGTGTGCTAAAGAACAACGCCCCCCAGGGGCTCACCTGGGGTGTGAAAGCGCTCCCTGGAAGCTGGTCTTCTTTTGTTTTCCCCTCACTGGAACCTGGTCTGGGTTGGACTGCCAGAAATCCTCTGCCACTGAGACACTCAAGGATGACACTAGAAATAAAGTAGATGTGGTCTACTTTTTTCCCTCCATAATGCAAAATAGAAGATGGTTGGAATCTTAACCCAGTTACCACTTTGTGAGGGGTGGGACACCAGAGTTGGCTGCGAGGACTTCACCCTCCTGGCGAGGGGACAGCTGATGGCAGCACAGAGGTGGAGGTTGCAGGTCCACATGCCAGCATGTCACCCATTTGCCTTTAGGGAGTGTGGGGACTGGTGTCAGAACCTGCAGGCAAGCGGTGGCTGTGGTTGACCCTGGTGAGCCTCCTGGGTGTACCAGTCAGGATGGAAAAGGGGACCCATGTCTCAAGCCACACCTCTTGGCACCACCCGGACCTGTCAAGGCCAGGACTGATTCTGTGGTGGAGCTGGACTGAATCAGACACATGCTAGTGATTTTAGCAGCAATGAGAAATGACTTTTTGTAAGAGACCTTTCTACAGAGATGGCAGCACAACAAGAACTCCTCGCAGGTTGCGGGGGCCTCTTTCTCTCGCCATCTGCTTTTCTCATCTGGTTTATTTTAAAGAGAATGTCCAAGTGTCAGTACCAGATTAGCAGGGCACCATTATTTAGTCTGGGGCCTGTTTTGTCACCTCAGATGGTGCGGGGACAGGCTGAAGATAAACTGTGGCTCTTCTCGGTGCTGGTGGCTCTCTGCGGTAGGACCTGTTGTCAGCACTGTGAGGAATCTGGCCTTTGTGTGAGCAACTTTTCATGCCTTTATCGCAGGGGCCTGACTCACAGCAGGCCCTGGACTGGCTTCCTGCGGCCAGCTCAGCAGTCTCTTCATGCAAATCCTGAATCCCAAACAGGGATGTGCTCATTAGCTGAGGATCATATTGTTAATTTCAGTTAAGGAGCTCTTTCCAGGGGCTGGAAGAAGGAAAGGTTACCTAGTGGACTCTGCTCCCTTTTCCTGCAGCACATTTGAAAAGCAAATGCAGATCATCAGGATGCTGAGGCATGTGGCTGTGGCCCGTGGAGCAGTGCAGAGGCCTCTCCGCAGCTGCTGGATGTCTGTCCTGCCAGTCCGGTGTCTGGGCAACTCCTCTTCGCAGATCCCAGAGAATGCCAGCTTCCACTCTGCCGCCTCCTCTGAAGCAGACCCTCCGCGGATCCTGATTACAGGTTGGATTTTCTCCCTCTTCCTCTTCTCCCTGTCTTGGCTTGAATCTCACCTTCTTGGTGCTGCTCTGCGTAGCTGCCTTTGGTTTTGGAACATGTGATGTGCTATCCTGTCACCAGGCCCGGGGCCTTGGGAAACAAGGCGCTGCAGCAGGTAAGTTAGCATCTGTCCTGGGACCTCACTGCCATTGACCTCACTGTCACCAGATGCCCTACCTTGAATATGCCAGCCCTGATCCTGCACCTTCTCACCGTAGACTTCGTGCTGCCCCTGGCCCAAGCCCCGCTCTCATTTGATTGACAGGTTTTATTTCCTCCTCCTCTGCCAGGTTTCTTCCATTGGCTCTGCATCACTGTCCTCCCACTTTCCTCACAGGGTGTGTGTGTGTGTGTGTGTGGTTTTCTCACTCTCTGCCACCCCCCTCATGAAGCATGTCCAGGGTTTGGGGGCCATAGTAATAGGAGCTGGCAGGAAATCCCTTCTGCTGCTTGGGTGTCTCCCCTGTGATCTTTACGGAGTCCTCCCAGATGTGCTCCCAGCTCCCTGGCTTTCCTGTCCCTAACCATGGCTTTCCCCCTCGACATTTTCTAYTGGTGCGTTATCATGATGCATTCTAGTGGGATCCTGATGCCGTATTATCCATGCCTTTGTTGAGTCTGCAAATTAGGAAACGGATGCCACCCAGTTTTCACTTTCCTGGTGGCTCCCCGTTGAGTGTTTTTTCTGTCTGCCCTCTTCTCAAAGGACTTCTTGCTGCCGCCCCCTTGCCCTTCCTAGCCYAGCTCAGTGAGAATGGAAGGTGTGCCAAGGCTGGTGGTGAATGTCCTTGGTACTTGAAGCACATGAGCTTTGGCTCCTCCTCCCCCTCTCCTCTGCTGAGACACCCCCTTGGCTGGGGCATCTGTGTCTGTCTTGGCCTCTGTCCTGGCCGGGTGGCCGTCATTCCATGTTCTGAGTGCCGCACCGTGTGGCWCAGTCAGTAGAGTGGCATCGGCTGAACCCAGGACTTCATCTCATCCTCCCAGGCTGAGAAACAGTCGGTTTGTTCATGACATTCTGGGAATCCCTGAACTCACAGGTTTCTGAAGTTTCACTGTTGTTTTTCCTTTTTTGTCTAGGGGGTCTTGGCCAGCTGGGAGTGGGGCTTGCTAACCTTTTAAGGTAAGAGCCTTAAAGACTTGATATTTGAAACCTGAGTTCCTAAGTACAGTTTTTCTCTAGCACCATTTAACCATCTCCTCCTGCCTCTTGTCCTTCCCATTTTTAAGATATGGCACCTATGTTGCTGTTTAAATCACATTTTGCTTTGCCTCCTGATGTCACAGACCCAGGCAGGCCCTTGACTCTTGCTCACACTGGCCCTTTGCCATCTTTGTCCTATCTTAGGCAAAGTGGGACTCGTCCCAGATGGATTTGGCTTTTAGTTGCTTGGGATCAGAGGGAAGCATTTTTAGAAACTGGAAAGGAACCGTGTGGGATTTGGAGAGAGTGGGACAAAACTGTGTCCCTCTAGAGATGTAGCAGGACTTACAGGCGGCTTAGGTTAAAAACACTTCACTCACTGACTTGAGCCTGCAGATGATTTTTTACATCTTAGCATCTCGGTTCCATTTTGCATCTGTCTCCTTGGATTGTAGGAACAAGACTGATAAACATCTTGTGGTGAGTCAAAACCACCCTTTAGGGAACAGCAACTCTCTTACCACTAACCCTGACAAGCCCCTCTAACCAGTCCTGAGACGACGATCAGCCAGACCATAGTCTGACCAGCACTGCTTGACTGGGCTCGGTTCTTTTGTTCCTTTGTCTATAACCCGGGAAGGGAGCCCGGGCCGGTGCTCCTGAAGATGGGGCTGGTCCTCCTGCTGCAGCTGTGCCCACTCCAGTCCTCTCCTGCTCTTCACCAGTCAGAGTCCACATTTTGTTGGTTGGAACAAGTGTCCAGACCTATCGTTGGAACTTTCCCCGAATTGGGCTTCTGACTTAGAAGTCCAGTGACAGGGATGCTGGGGAGAACCCGGTGACAGACATAGCGTTGACAGTGGGGTGAGAAGAGAAACAGAAGATGAGGCTGGGTGGGAAGGGGCCTGAGCATGAGGGAAGCAAGGTGTGTCCCAGGTGAGGAGGAAGGAGGCTGCTTCTGTTTTAAAAGATTTTTTTTCTTTTTTTTTTTTTTTGCAGAAGCTGTTATATCCTCCAGGTTGCTGACTTGTGTTTTGATTTTCCCTTTAGGAAACAATTTGGGGAGGAAAATGTGATTTTGTCAGACATAAAGAAGCCCCCCAATTATGTCTTACATCGTGGTAAGTGATCGATAGCCTTGCTGCTATATTTATTTTAATTTTCAAAGTGTGGTTAAAGATGTGGTTCATGGAATCAGTGTGCACGACAGCCCCTATCCAGGTATGTGGATCAAAGAAAGTTATCGAGATACATTGTGCCACTTAAAAGTATTTGATATTTCTAATGCTGCTGGAATTTTTTTTTAACCACTTGAATAGCAGCAGCTATTAAATCATTTGATGTTTCAAAATAATATCTTTTGATATAATTTGGAGTGATATCATTGGAATAAAAACTTGGATTCCTGTCTTTTGAATTTTTAGTTAACTTACTGGCTCAGAGTAGACAAACAGATCAAGTTCTATGATGAGGAAAAAGAACTTTAAAAACTTGGAGATATTAATTGGGATGTTATAAGGTAGAATTGCTCTTAAGCTATGGCACGCACACACACAAATACTCAAGCTCCTCTTGTGAAGTTGTCTACTGCCTCATAAGCATTCCATCCTGTCTGTCAGTCCTTCCTGGTTCAGAGTTGGCCTTTTTCTATGTGTCCTGGGCAGATTAGCAAGCTGCTGGGGGGTGTGGGTGGCCTTCCTGTTGGCCTTAAGCAGAATCGTCTCTGCCTCCTGTGTAATTAGAACTGATGACTTAGGATTCTTCTGTACCAAGTGGATGGTTAAAAATCCACTTCTCTATTTCTTTTGAAATCTGCAGCTTGAAAGTAGAATGAGGTGACCAGGGAGCTGGAGTTGGCATCAGCAGTGACGCCTAGGGAGGGGGTGGCAGATGCCCAGTGGTGACCCGACTCCTTCCACTTGTTTTCTGTTTGACCCCTGGCAGCTGCTGAACTTCTCTGTGCCTCAGGTTCCTCACAGGTTAAATGTGTCTACCTCCAAGGCTAAGAGAAGGTGAACTACACCTGGGGCTTAGTTCCTTSTAGGAGCACCAGCTATGATTACCTGCGGATCCCAGCGGGATTCACCAGGTGTGTGGGCTGCTTGGCCCCTCAGATCCCCACCTGCTCGCCTGTGTTCTGTAGGCCCCTTCATTTATGCCGATGTCCTGGATTACAAGCGGCTCCGGGAGATCGTGGTCAACCACCGGATCACCTGGCTGTTCCATTACAGCGCTTTGCTCAGCGCCGCTGGAGAGGCCAACGTGCCCTTGGCCCGAGCCGTGAACATCACTGGTGAGTGTCCGGCCCGCCTGGTCCGCTCTGCCGCCCCTCACTCCTCGGCGAGAGAGGTTCTTGCGGTTCTGATGACCCTGCCCCTCAGGGCTGCACCACGTCCTGGACATCGCGACCGAGTACCACCTGCGCTTGTTTGTGCCCAGCACCATCGCAGTTTTTGGACCTACCTCTCCCAGAAACCCAGCCCCTGACCTCTGCACCCAGAGGCCCAGGACCATCTACGGGGTGTCCAAGGTGCACATGGAGCTCATGGGAGAGGTAAGCACCCCTGGGAGGCTGCTGCCCCGCGGCAGGTCTGTTCCCTTCAGTTTCCTTTCCCACTCTGCCTGGAGTGACCGAGGGAGCACCTGCGGATTTYGTCCTGGGGAGCTAGCCCCTCCCCCTCCCCCACCCCCACCTCCCTGCTGTGTTTGCCAAGTGGCCGGCACCTAAGGACCCCCTGTGGCCTGGCACTTCCTGAACGGTAAGTGGCTCCGGTAMGTGGCTCCGAAGCCTTTGCTTGCTGTAGCCTTGTTCCTGAGCACCACTGTTTTAGGCGACCAGTGCCCGGAGTTATTACTGATGACTTTGTGTTCTGGAAAACCTCAAGCTTTTTTTTTTTTTTTCTACTCTGTCTTTATATCGCTATAGTATCTTTTTCTTTTCTTTTATCTTTTTTTGGTAGGGATTGAACCTAGGGGTGCTCATCCTCTGAGCCACATCCTCCAGCCCTTTTTGTATTTTATTTAGAGACATAGTCTCACTGAGTTGCTTAGGGCCTCACTAAGTTGCTGAGGCTGGCTTTGCACTCTGGGTCCTCCTWCCTCAGCCTCTGAGCTGCTGGGATCACAGGTGTGCACCAGGTGCCTGGCCTCTATAGTAAATCCGAGTCAACATCTGATCCTTCKGCTGCTGGGTCTGGCCATGCTCTGGCCTCTGCCCTCCCCTCCACTCTTTGCCAGGCTGCATGAGCAGATGAACCCTCAGGCTCAGGGCAGTGAAAGGTAGCAGACCCCTGCTGGAGGCTGGGTTGTTGTTGGCAGAGTTGCTGGGTCCCCACGACGGTGATTCTCTGGGATAAAGACAGAAGAGTGTTCAAGATGAGTGAATGACTCTAGGAAGTTCTAAACTCTTCATTTTCTTTAGGAATATTTTAATATAGCTGTATGGAATGATATTTGGAAAAAGAAAAAAAMTTAAAAAAATGTTTGGCTTTGTTCTATCTGATTTAAAGATCCTTTTCTGAGTCAGCTGTCTCTTTTTCATAGTACTATTATTACCGGTACGGGTTAGATTTCCGCTGCCTGCGGTACCCTGGGATCATTTCTGCTGACTCGGAGCCTGGGGGAGGAACAACTGGTAAGAAGGGTTTCTGATTTCTTTTATGTGTAAGATAGGCTCACTTATTGCCGGGAAGTGTCTCCTTGGTGGTGAACGGCCCTGTCTCTAGTGTGTAAGGAACACCTGCAACTTCTTTGCCTTCTCCCAGGTGTGTGCTCTTCTGCACAGCAGACCCTATTGACTTGCCCTTGCTCAGGGCAATGCAGGAGCTGGCAGTCAGCTTGGCATTGTCACCACAGTGCTGGGGTGAAACAGACACTGCTCGAGGACAGATGTGTGACTCGAGATGTAGAAGACCCCCATCAGCTTCCTTGAATACAGCCCTTGTTTCTTAATAGAGAACAGCTGGCTGGAATGGACCCTGCACATTGCACATTTGAAAAGGGCCTAAGTAGTGCTATTTTGGACTCAGGCGTGCGTGACATTCAGCAACCGTCATGTCGGGATCCTCCCCATTCAGTGGTCCTGAGGTGTAGTATAAAAGCTATTTGACAAAACCTGAGGGACTTTAAAGGTGACTTTGGTTTTGGTCACTTTAGAAAAGCTCCTACCTTCATGTGGAGCCTCTTCAAGTATGGCTCAGGGGCCTCTGAGCATCCTTGAGATTCTTTCAAGGAATCCAGGGGTCAACACTACCCATACCAGTACAGGGACATTATTAGCCACTTTCCTTCCCCCGCTCAAGCCACCATAGAGTTTCCCAGAGGTGTGTGCTACAGCAGAACAGGCTGAATGTAGAAGCTGGTAGATGCTTCAGCTATCTCCTGCTAAACCCAAGAGTTTTGTTTCTTTCTTTCCTTCCTTGCTTCCTTGCTTCCTTCCTTCCTTCTTTGTACCAGGGATTAAACTCAGGAGCACTTAACCACTGAGCCACAACCCCAGCCCTTTTTTGTATTTTATTTAGAGATAGGGTCTTGCTAGGTTGCTTAGGGCCTCGCTAATTTGCTGAGGCTGGTTTTGAACTCACAATCCTCCTGTCTGAGCCTCCTGAGCCAGTGGGATTTACAGGCGTGCGCCACTGCACCCAGCTCCAGAGTTTCTTAAAATGTACAACAGATTRTTCTTCTCAGTAACCTTTCTTTGTTTGAAAATGATGTTCTTTTCCCCATAAAGTATCACACGTATCAATATGTAATAGGTTATTCATATCATTTTAGAACTTACTGGTTTACATTCTAAAAATTTTCATTTACCTGTGTCAGACAGTAAATCTTGATAGAGCCTGCATGGGTCAAATCTCTGGGAGTCCTACATTTTTAAGAGCCTGAAGAGTTCTGGGACTAAAACATTACAGAGCTGCTGCCTTGGTCCAAGAGGCTCCTGCATGGTTTTGACATAAGAAAAACCCACAGACGGATTCTCTTTCAGACTACGCAGTCCATATTTTCCACGAGGCCACAAGGAGGGGCAAATTTGAGTGCAACCTGAAGGCCAACACCAGGCTTCCGATGATGTACATCAGCGACTGCCTCAGGGCCACTCTGGAGGTCATGAATGCACCCGCAGAGTCTCTCTCCTTGAGGACCTACAACATCAGCGCCATGAGCTTCACCCCTGGGGAGCTGGCCCAGGAGGTCCGCAGGCACCTGCCGGAGTTCCAGATCACCTACCAGGTGGACCCTATGCGGCAGGCCATAGGTGGGTCAACCACTGCCAACCAGCACAGTCAAAATTGAGCTTTGGCATGCACCATGAGTCCTGAGGACGTCAGCCAGGGAAGGCCGAGGAGCCCACAGCTCTCACCCCAGGGCTGAGATGCGTGCTACAGAATCAGCTGCTGTTGAGCTGGTTAGCAGATGCTTTGATTTTTGAAATATGATCTAAGTGGGTAAAATGATTCCATTCCAAGGGAATGGCTCAGCAGCATCTTACAGATTAAATGCAAAACAAGGGGGAAAAGGAAGCAACTGAGAAAGTATGGGAGCAGCCCTAAGTTTTCACATACTTTAACCGCCATTTTTTAATTTAACTTTCCTCCTTGGGTATAAGATTCCCCCCTTAAGAACTGTGAGGTTTTGCTGGGCACAGTGGTGCATGCCTGAAATCCCAGTGGCTCTGGAGGCTGAGACAGGAGGAATCACAAGTTCAAAGCCTCAGCAACTTAGTGCGGCCCTAAGCAACTCAGCAAGACCCTGTCTCTAAACAAAATTTAAAAAAAAAAAAAAAAAAGGCTGGGGATGGGACTCAGTGGTCGAATGTCCCTGTTCAATCTTTGGTTTAAAAAAAATTATATATATATAATTTTATATATTGATTTAAGATATAGATATATATAATATATGATATAATATATATTATATATGTGATAAAATATATGATATATATCATATATATTTATGTGTGTGTGTGTGTGTGTGTGTGTGTGTGTATATATATATATATATATATATATATATATATATATATATGTGTGTGTGTGTGTGTGTGTGTGTGTGTATATATATATATATATATATATATATATATATATATATATGAGAGAGAGAGGAGTTTTAACATGAAAATCAATGTCAGACAGTAGTTGTCTAGTCTGACCTTCCAAGAGGGTGACTGTGTGTATAGTAGATGTTCTGCTTTTTTTGTTCCTTGTACAATCAACCTTCACATAAAACGCTGTAGAACTTCGGCAAATCCAGAGTCTGAATAACCTCTCTCCCTAGCGGATAGCTGGCCCATGAACTTGGATGACAGCAATGCCCGGAAGGACTGGGGGTGGAGACACGACATTGATCTTCCAGAGTTGGTGACGAAGATGCTGAACTTCCACGGTTCTGACACCAGAGTTGCCCAGACCAACTGAGGCTTCAGAGAAGGGGCCCTTGTGTCCTGACTGCCTGGGGAGGACAGACAGGACCCCAGGGAACCTGCACTCTTTAGAGTTGAAGGGCTGATTGGACTACGTTCYGGCAGCTCATTTGAACTACTGGGTGGAGGGTGGAAGTAGTTTAAGCATTTCTAAGATGATGTAGGTTTGGAGGGAGGGCTTCTCGACCTTTTCTGGGGCCTAAACGGGTCCAAATGCTCACGCGGCAGAGTGCACAGAATGCGTGGTAGCGACAAGGTGACCATTTCTGGGAAGGTGGAAGTATGTAATGTTTGTATTGATTGAAAGCCAATTTACATATCACCCTAAGACTCCATTATTCTCTTGACCATAGAACAAAGATCACATTTTAAAGACTTTCAAAGACACGCTCACTATTCTGCATCATCCCACCAGAACACAAAACTTGTGTTTTGTGTGAGCTTGATGTGTGAGCCGCATGATCACTGCATTCCGACTCTTCAGAGGTTATCACTTCTAATTTATCCTGCTGCAAGAGGTACAGCTGCGGGAAATCAAGAATATCTATGAAGATGCAGCAAGAGAAGAGTAGCCCTCTCATTCCTGACCCCCTCCTGTCAGTGAGCAAGGAGGGATCTACCAGACTAGAGCTCCTGAGCTGGCCCTGTCTCATCCGCGGGGAGTTTGTCTAAGGGTGCAGGTGTCTGGGCTCTACCCAGCTGACTAAGCAGTGGGAGCAATGCTATTTTCTAAAGAACCCTCTCGTTATGTCCTTTCCCATGTCCTCAGACTGAGCCTGCAGAGGAGTGGCTCTAAGCCTCTAGACACATGCAAGTTAGTCTCTGGCTGCCTCAAGAGGCCCCAGGAAGTGAAATGCCCCATTCCTCAGAAAATTATGGGTACTTTGATAACGGGAAGAATTGAAAGGTGTTATATAGATCATGTGTTGATGACAATAAAGTCAATTATTATGCATTTGGAATTTTGAATTGTTAATGTGAGTTTTTTGGAGGTATTCCTGGGTTTAAAGTCTATTTGACCTTTAACTGGAGAACTTTTTGAGTCATTAGTTATATCAATATAGCTTTTTGGAACACCTAGTGTAAGTTTACATGTGTAGACTATGAACTTCTTTAATAGCGTTATTGGATATAGTTCACATAAAATTCATTCATTTAAGATTATGGTTCATCAATACAGTATAATTATGGTTGTACATCCATCAATACAGTATAATTTTAGGACATTTCAACATCCCATAAAGAATCCACAGGTATGCCCTCCCTTGCACCCCAGGCAGCCACTCCCCTGCACCCGTGTCTGGATTTGCCACCTCTGGAATGCAGTCTTCTGTGAGTGGCTTCCTGGATGAAGCATGCTGTTCCTGAGGTTCATCCATGTGGCAGAACTTGGATTGTCCTTGTTAAAAATGTTCCACTGTATGGATAGACGGCATCTTGTTTAACCCTTCCGTTGAGGGACAACATCAGGTCCTTGGCCGTTTTTAGCCTTGAAGGGGAGGTAAATGCCGTGAACATTGTGTAGATACTTGTGTTTGGAAGCTACTTTATTTCTTATTGTTTATAGGTTGAAAGTAGTTCTTTAGTTCTTGTAACTTATTCTCAATTATTAGAACAAGAAGTTAATTTTTTGTTCCTCTGAGGAGGGAAGAAGCAGCTGATGGGTGACTTGTGCTCTTAGGCTCTGGTCCTGATTTCCACCCAGTTCCCCAGAGAACCTTGTCTTGGGGCCCTTTGTGGGATTTGTTCTGAATGGCTTCCTTTAATCTTTTTTGACAATTCATATTACACATATAGAGCACAACTTTTCATACCTCTGGTTGTATTCAAAGTATATTCACATTAATTCGTGTCTTCATACATGTACTTAGGATAATGCTGACCACCACTTTCCATCACCTCGTCTAACCCCCTGCCCCCTCCCTTTCCCTCCCATCCCTCTGCCCTATCTAGAGTTCATCTAATCCTCCCATGCTCCTGCTCCCTACCCCACTATAAATCAACCTCCTTATATCAGAGAAAACAGTCGGCATTTGTTTTTTTGGAGTTGGCTAACTTCACTTAGCATTATCTCCTCTAACTCCATCCATTTACCTGCAAATGCAATGATTTTATTCCCTTTTATTGCTGAGTAATATTCCGTTGTGTATATATACCACATTTTTTTTACCCATTCATATACTGAAGGGCATCTAGGTTGGTTCCACAGTTTAGCTATTGTGAATTGTGCTGCTATAAACCTTGATGTAGCTGTGTCCCTGTAGTATGCTGTTTTTAAGTCCTTTGGATGTAGACAGAGGAGTGGGATAGCTGGGTCAAATGATCTCCATCATGTGGGATTAGGCCCCAACTTCCTTAATAAGACTCCTATAGCACAAGAATTAAAATCAAGAATCAATAAATCATTAAAATCAAGAATCAATAAAAAAGTTTCTTCTCAGAAAAAAAAAAGATCTGTGAGGTGAATAGAGAGACTACATCTTAGGAGCAAATCTTTACCCCTCACACATCAGATAGAGCACTAATCTCTAGGGTATATAAAGAACTCAAAAAGCTAAGCACCAAAAAAACCAAATAACCCAATCAATAAATGGGCCAAGGACCTGAACAGACACTTCTCAGAAAATGATATATAATCAACAAATATATGAAAAATGTTCATCATCTCTAGCAATTAGAGAAATGCAAATCAAAACTAAGATATCGTCTCACTCCAGTCAGAATGGCAGCTATTAAGAACACAAACAACAATAAGTGTGGGTGAGGATGTGGGGAAAAGGCACACTCACACATGCTGGTTGGACTGCAAATTGGTGCAGCCAATATGGAAAGCAGTATGGAGACTCCTTGGAAATCTGGGAATGGAACCACCTTTTGACCCAGTTATTTCTTTCATCTTTGGAAATCTATAGAAGCACCTCAGGATGGCCAAGAAGAGTGGAAATTGAAGGCTGCAGTCTCCAGGGACCATTCTTACTGGCTCTTCACCCTCTAGACTAAAGCCGGAAGCTAAGACCCCTTTCCGTCCCAGGGTGGCAGGGGAGGACGCAGTGTTTTACTGGCAAAGGCTGCCTTTCTGTGGAAGTGATCTGAAGGGACACTTGGAAGGAAAGAGGGGGCTTAGTTTATCCCTCCATTTCCCTCTCTAGAGGTGACCATGACAAGATWCATAGTTACATAAAATCAATCTTAAAATGAATGATTGAAGACTGTTTTATTAAGGATTCAAGCTATCCTATCAATATTGAATTTTGGCCATGTGAGGGTTCACTTAACTGTAGGAAGCAGTTTTCAACACTTCCATTCAGTAAAGACAATTCCTATTTCCCTGTGTGCATAATCCCTTACTTTCCTAAAGCACAAATGTTGTGTTCATGACTTTATTTAATAACATAGGTCAGCAGCTTGAATAGACCCACCACATTTATTTTAAAAGCTGCAAAACTTTTCGTAGACTGACTGTACCAGAACATATTTAATTGACTTACTAATTCCGGACTCTCCAGTCTTTTACTATCACAAATGAAATTGTAAAGAACACTTCTGGTGTGGTCAACTTCTATTGGCTGAAAGAGCCTAACACTCTCTGGGACAGAGCCTTTACATCCACGTAACTGTGAACTCTAAGGGTCAAGTCTCCTCCCCCTTTTTATACTATAATAATTCATTGCATGTAAAGAACTCACCTTAAAACAATGGTATAAAGAGCATTTTCCCATGAAAAGACCTACATGGAATAAATATCTTGCGTTTCTTAAATCATGTTTACAGTAGACAGCAGCTGATTTGGGAGTGGACTGACTACTATTGGGGGGTCCTTTCATTATGACTGTGATGTACATGGTCAGTGTCCACATTAACGAGATGAAGTGGTCCTGTCGAAGCTTCCCATTTGGAAGCCTGATTGGGTGAGGGAGAAGCTGGACATCATCAGGGCGACGGGAGAGCAGAGTCACAATTCATCAGTCTCCATGAAGTCAGAGGACATGCTGTCAGGTTGATGAATGCTCCGAATGGGAATGGAAGATTGAGAAAGGAAGAAAGCCCAAGTCCCCAGCATATTTAAAAGTGTTTAATTACTGTTCACGAACACCCATCATATGCCCAGAGCCGGTTCCCTTGGTGCCCCCTGGGTCGGGACCACCGACCCAGCTCTCTTAAGAGAGGTCTCTTCTGAGCCGAGGTCCAAGGAACCCCTGAGTAACCTAGTGGGTTTGAAAGTGCCAGGTGACACCAACGTCCTGTTCTTTCCCTGCTGACTCTTGCATCTGTGAACACAAGCTTACCTGGCAGGCTAGAGACCCACGAGTCTTCCAAACATGTACGAAACTCTGATTTCAGAAGGTTTGATCTATGCATCTATGCACCTGGGAGAGGAATTAATCCTGGCTGTCATTTCGCTGCAAATTGTGTAACCCTAACACAGTCATGTCCTGTCTTGATTCTGTTCCCTTCTGTAACGGGCCACGAGGTGCTGAYTCTGCAGGGCTGCTTCTCCCCACCCCAAAACTGTGACTTCAATCAAGAAATTGTACTTGATTTTTTTCTAATTAAAAATATTAAGTTGGACACGTTGGAGAAATGTCTATAAACATGTAAATTATGAAGCATATTAACGAAAGAGCTGTGCTGAAGAATGGACCATTCCTAGGGCCACCTGTCCTCAACCGCCTGTATGGACTTCCAACCTGTGAAATAGGAGGAATATTCTAGTGGGAGAGTTTGAAAACTTAGTTTTCACATCATTGTTTTGGGAGGAAAAAGCCCAAACATTTGCTAAATATCTGCCATATGCTTTGAAACTAACTTTGCAATGTTTACTAACTTCTGGAAATGAACTACTCAGCAGGCAGATGTATTCAGTCTTAAAATAGATGGGCATCTGAGGGGGAGAAATGACTGGCTTTGAGAATCTTTCTGTTTTATTAAGGATTCAAAGCTTTCCTATCAGTGTTAACTGTTGGCCGTGTGAGGGTTCACGTAACTGCATGGAGC